CACTCATAATAAGAAAAATTCAAATGCAAATCATGTTGGAAATAACCGTTTTTACCTCTCAGATTGGCAGAGATTTTTTTTAAAAATTTGCTAACACAATCTGTTGACCAGGGAACATAGGAACCCTTAAACATTTTCCATGACATGAAAAACTGCTATCATGTCTAAGAAAGGCACATTTGGCAACACTCATCAAAATTTAATCAATCACAGGCCAGCAAAAGCTGTAAAATGGCATTTCAAGAATATGGCCACTTTCCTTCTCACATTTGAGAGGTCAATGTCATGCTAACTGCACAACTAGAAGTACAAGCAGTAGCTGTTACCAACTGGATGGAGCTTGACAAGATAACTAGTATAAAACAATAATATAAACTACCTCTTAATGCTCACCTACACAAACTAAATAAGGTACCCATGGTCATACACTTCTGTAGCACACTTCACTTGTCCTCTATAGCTCTTATTACAGTTTGTAATAAGACATTTAAATGAGAGTTCTCTGTGTAATGCCTTCCTTCCCTTTAAATTCTATTACAACACGGACCATGTATGATTTGTTTGGTGTATTAGTCCAGTGTCTGGTCCATGGCAGACATTCACTCTATGTGGAATTCATTCTTTCATCCAACAAATATTTACTATGGATGAGGTAGGTATTCTGCTCAATTCTGAAGTCATGGCACTGAATGAGGCAAACTAGTTCACTCCTCCTTTCTAGGGCCAGTCAAAAAATAACCAGACACACAGAAACATATATACATATCATAAAAAGAAACTTAAAGAGAAATGTCCAATTGGCCTTAGAACAGATTATTACATTCATATTCTCAAGAAACATTTTTCATTTTAAATGATTTCTTCCGGTTAAAATAACTTTAGCCAATTTAATTATTAAATAATGAGTTTATTTTTAATTTTATATTAATTTTAATTTAATATAAGCTAAAAAAGTGGGGTGGGATAAAGCCTGCAGCCTTCTATCCAAATACAACTACTTTTAACATAAATTTTCTTTCTTTCCTGGGTTTTCCGTGAAACTTTCTTCAACATCATGGTGAATACAAAACATATAATTTTCTCTGCTTTCATAGCTGACATTTAATCTCCCTTCTTTATAATAAAGGTCAATGAACACTGCAAAATGGTCTCCTTCCAGAAGGTCGCCCTGGCAGCCATAGCTCCAACTTAGTGTTTTCTCTTCAAGACCAATAGTTTTACCAAAGTGGAGCAGGCCTTCAGCATCTCCCCAATAAGACCACTTTCAAATAGATGGAGTAGTTGCCTTACACATACCAATCATTCTTTTTTTCCCCACATCTTCTCTCTTACTTATTTCACAACTTTGAGAAAAAATTTTCCTTCTATCTTCTCTTATTTGTTAAATATTATGAAACTTCTTCTGGCCTCTTGGATACAAAAGAGAGAGAGAGAGAGAGAATACTCAGGCATAAGATACGTTTGCCATCTGAAGTTGAAGATAGGGCCTGACCTTATGGGGAAATAATAGGTAGCAGGTGTTTCTGCTAGGTTAGCAAGACACATATTACCCTAATGTTTATCAAGCTGATGATGACAATACTTGATGAGTATTTCCCTTTAATAGTATGTACAGGTTTATAGACACCAACAGATTATGAATGAACAGAAAAGATGGTATAGTTCCCCTAAAAATAAATGCCAGCGAGTTTGGGAGATAAAAAATAAAATAACAAGCTGGACACCAATATGATTTGTAAAAATTGGCTGAAGAAGTATTCTGGCCCCAGAAATTCTGTAATTAAAGCAAGAAAGAATTCACTAGTCTGGTTCCTTCTCATATGCAGCAAAACACCACACAGCATTAACTTTCTTTACATACAGACAAATGAAAACGGGCTTGCAATGCATCACAACCAGAATATATGTAAAAAGATGGTGATGAACAATGAAACTTCTAGGAAAGTTACAGGACTGGTCTCTGGCCTCACACTAGTATTTACATACTAATGTTTTGGAATAGGCTATTTCATTGGGGTGAGAGAGAGAAGGCGGAATATGCCTACTGGGGAAGAAGGGTGTATGATTCTTTTTGTCCATGCTCCAACTTTGTTTAAGGAAGACAGATTCATACCTTTAGCCATTAAAATTATTTGAATGGTTAAAAATAACAATAATAGTTGGGTGTGGTGGTGCAAGCCTATAATCTCAGAAAGTGGAGACAGGAAGATTGCTGTGTGAAGCCAGCTCAGGCAAAAGATAAGAAGACCCTATCTGAAAAACAAACTAAAAGCAAAAGAGCTGCAGGTATGGTTCAAGTGGTAGAACGCTTGCCTAGCAAGTTCAAGGTCCTGAGTTCAGTCCACAGTGCCACAATAATAAATGATGACAATAATAATAACATCAAGTATTGTGATTTTACTTCTCTCTGAAATAAATGCCACTAATACCTTACTAAGTAAAGTTTGATGAACACAAAACACCATGCAAACTTCAAGGGATAATTTGATAATATACTTTCTAAACTTTCAATCCTCTGGAAGCAACAATGCTAATCATTTTTGAATGACTGAGATTAAGTTAAGGGAATTAATTCTTGAGGTGTTTTAAAGTATTTGATGACTATCAGAGACTAGCTACTGGAGACTGGCTCAAAATGATCAGTCATTTGGAATCCAGTCCAAGAATTTAATCCTTGATCTCTTAAGGAAGCAGTTCCCCCCAAATGTTTGCTTGCCCTGTGATGTTTTATCTCATAATAAAGGGTTTCAACATCAAATTCTTAGCTCTGAAAGGCCTATAAAATAGGATTATGTTATAGACAAGAAACTGAGGGAAACAGCTTGCTCACTTGTTAGCGTCCAATATATGCTGCCTACAAAAGCCTTTTAAAATACCAACAAAAATTGAAACTTAAAGAGAAAAAAAAAAACCTACTGCTGACTCATTCCTCATAGAAAAACATTTAGTACTTCCTGGGGCAGAGAGCCAAATTTCTATTTCTAGTGCTGTAATTTCCACTCTTGAATTCTGGAAGGGGCAGAGGCAATGGAAGAGGAAGAGGTCAAAATCCTATGAAAGACACAATGTTTTTAAGGGGACTGTAATGAGATCTGCAGAGAAGTTATTGATCTGTGCCCTTTTGCTTTATTTCCAGTATATATTATAGTAATGTTTCTTCCCTGTGAAAGTTCAATATATTCGTCTAGGGACTTGGAGCAACAGGGCAAATAGCAAAGAAGAATTTTCGAGTATTCATTAGTAAGGAGTCAAAAGGTCTTTGCAGAAATCCAGGCAACAGGCAAAGAAAGAACAAAAGCAAAGTTCAACTTAGAACCATTCCCTGGCTTCTCTGAATCATGACATGAGTGATCAAAAGCCTGAAAATTGAGGAAGGCACCAATAATATGTTTATAAATACTTATATTTGTATAGACATGACATATGCATTGTACTTACTAGTGCTACTCTACAATATAACCTCATCTAAAGCAAACAACCCTGTAAGGCAAGTATTATTTTCCATAGATCACAAAGCTAGAAACAAAGTCAGATCTGCTCTCTAAAATCCACACTCATCAACCATTTGCTATGAAACATCCTGTAGAGAAGCAGATAACAGTTTCTTTCACAAACCATAGTACTTTTGAATGGAGTTTACAAGGGAAATATTTTTGAAGAGTTTAAAGTATAATTCAAATCAATGTTATTAAAGTATATAAAAGAACATGGAAAAAATATAGAATTTTTCCAATTAAAAGTAAGCCTAGAGAAATCTACAGTAAGCTACTATTATTTCTCCCTACATATTTAAATTTCTTTTTTAAAACTTCTAAAGTGCTAAGTAAAAACAGTAGAATTTCCTTAACATCATATTAACAAAATTATGATCTTCGTATATACTCTCACTCCCAGCGGATTGTGGAAAGCTCCGATTTCAAACACCATCAGAGGACATTGAACTACTATGCCCTAAAATTTTATGCCCAAATATCTCCTAGTGTACGATAGTCATAGAGTTAGGATCTGAATACAATTTCCATATTTGCAATCCAAACCTTATTTGTCGTTTTAAGTAGACATAAGAATCCCGGACACTGATTTGCCTATTGGCAAATATCACCATATGTGAAAGAAGAAAGCATTAGACACAGAAAAAAACTATGAGTTGAGAATCAAGTGGACTTGTATTAAGCTCTAAGACCAGCCTGCTGTTCTTTAACTTAGGCTAATTACTAAATCACTGAGCCTCGGTTTTCCTCACTATAAAATGTGAATACTAATAACTAGCTCACAGAATTGTAGTGAGAATTAAATTTATATATGTGTATATATATATATATGTGTATATAAATAAATTAATATATATAAATTGCCTCAAAAACTATTTAGTAGCTAGTACATATCCAATAACTACTACATTCCTTCTTCAATGTATCTGAATATAATCTGAATATAAACAATCTTTATTATAGATATGTCTATATCCATTCATTCAATATATGTGAATAAGTGCAATATGTTTTAAATTTTCTCAACATCAAAACTATACAGGTGAATTATGACTAGTCAAGCTGTTTTTGCCTATCTGAGTTTGTATGGGTTACAGTACACATAGTTCAAGAAAATAACATCAGAGCAGCTGGGTGCATAGCTTAAGTGGTAGAACACCTGCCTGACAAATGTTGAATGCTCTGCATTCAAACTCTAGTACCAAAAAAAAAAAAAAAATCTAAACAAGAAAATATCAGAGCCAGGAGTGGTAATCCCTGGGCTTAAGAGGCAGAAGCAGGTAGACTGTGAGTTCCAATCCAGCCTTGACTACATAATGACTTCAAGGCCAATGTGGGCTACATGGTGAGTGAGTCACTGTCTCAAAATTAAAAAAATTTTAAAAAAAGGAGGAGGAAGAGAGGAGGACAAGGAAGAAAATAACATCAATGGAAGATAAGTTACTTATACTCCATCTAGAAAATGCACAATAAATAGTCAGTAAAAACACTGACTGTATCCCCATCTACCTTGGTTGGTTCTCCACAGTGAAGTTTTCCCCCCTCTGATAGTCACTGTCTGCCACCTGGGTAGTAGACCTCTTCACAATTTGCTTCAGCTCCTGCTCCAATCGCTCTTTGATTGCCTTAACTGTCTCTGGGATCTTCTTCAGTTTGGCCAGCCCCTTGATAAGAATTCCCATGAAAAGGGTGCTGTTCTCCTCTGGATCCATATCCAAGTCCTCCTTGATGTCCTGCAGGTTGATCTCCTTCACTGCAAAATAAAATAAATAATGGTAATAACAGACACAGTTTCCACTGTAAAATTCAAAAACACAGCAGACTAATAAACAGGATCACTGTTTTGATTACTCCCTTAAAGGAATCAGAGATTGCTTTCAGCTAAATTAATTTACATAGCAACTATGCAAGACTCACAAAAAAATAATATTCATCAAATTATACTCACTAGTTAGTTGCAAGACTCAGAAGCAATTAAAAATGAGTAAGTAATCTCCAAGAGAAGTTTTTCATAGATGACTTTGCCACAAGTCCATTGATAATATCATGTGCTTACTTCTTATAAAATGCCATATATGGTGCTGCGGGAGAATCCTAAAGAGCCAGACCCTAGTTTCAAGTGATAAGTAGCAGGAATAAAATATATTATAAACACATGTAGGGCAAAGGGGAATAAGTTTAAATTATAACAAATGCCAAAGGAATGAAGAGAAATAGAGTCAAGACAATATACACAAATACCCATATGGGGGTACACTGATATGATCAGACAGAGACCTTGCTAATAATCCATGGAATTTTTCAGAGAAGTTATGCATTGAAAGTCTCCACAGAGCTTTAGATTAAAGCCTCCATCCAAATCATATGGTTTTATAAAGGAAGAAATTGCCTAAAACAGGGGTTCTTAACCCTTGTGGATAGTTGAAAAGGGATGAGCTGGTGATCTAAGATCGCCATACTTATCTAAAAGCCCAAGCTTTTCCCTCCAAATAGTGCAAAACCTTGTATATGGATTCAGAGTTTCACAACTGCCAAAAGAACCACAGGTTACAACCCTCTGACCTAAAAATAATTCTCTCATTTTACAAATGGTTGGATAAAGAAAGACAAAGCAAAAGTGAGTACAAATGTGCAGATGGAACATAACTGCTAAAATTTTTCCCCATCTTCCCCTGTCCTTCATTTTTCTCTTTGTCCTCTTTTGGGAACAAGACATAAAAGAGTAGGATACTCAAAAACAACCGCAAGTAAATCAGGCATACTGGTACATGCCTGTAACCTAAGCACTAAGGAGGTTAAGGCAGGAGAATTGCAAGCTCATGGGCAGCTAGGGCTACATAGTGACTTTGAGAGCAACCTAGGCTATGTAGTGACACCCTGTCTCAATAAAAAAATTTATTAAAATAAAATGAAAACAAGAAAAATGAGAAAGTGACTTTGCATGCCTAAGGAAAGGTACAGGCACAGAAAATACCTGAGAAAACATTAAATTTATATCCAAGCTGATCCTTGAGACAGTAACAATCTATCACAACATCAATAAAAACAAAAACAGCAAATCCTTATAAAGGAAGAGAGCCTGCTTTCCATAGTCATCAAAATATTAGATTCAAATTTCAAAACAAAAACTTACAAGGTATAGAAAGAAAGAAGAAAATATGACTCACTCAAAGGAAAAAATAGCAACTGTCCCTAAAAAGAGACTTGATAGCAGATCTCTTCAAAGAAGACTATAAAATAACTCTCAAAGATGTTTAAAGAACTAAAAGAAAATAAAATGTGGGGAAAGTCAAGAAAATGATGAACTAACAAAATGGTAAATCAACAAAGAGATAGAAAACATAAAAAGAAGCCAAAAAGAAATTCTGGAGCTGAGTCAGCACCAATGGCTCATGCCTGCAATCCTAGCTACTTGAGAGACTGAGACCTGGAGGATGATGGTTTGAGACCAGCCTGAGCAAATACTTCAGGAGACCCCATATATAAAATAACCACAGCAAAACAGATGGAGATGTAAGTGGTAAGAGTGCCTGCTTTTCAAGTATGAAGCCCTGAGTTCAAATCCCAGTCCCACCAAAAAAAATAAATAAATAAAATGTAAAGAAATTCTGGAACTGGAAAGTGCATTAATTGAAATGAAAAATTCAGTAGAGGGATTCAAAGGCAGAGTTGAGAAGTCAGAAGAAACGATCAGCCAATTTGAAGAAAGGACCATGGACACTATCAAGTCTGAGAAACAAAAATTCAGAAGAATGAAGAAACAAAACATGGGTAGGGCATGGTGCCTCAAGACTGTAATGCTAGATATTCAGGAGGCAGAGATCAGGAAGATCATAGCTCCATGCCAGCTCAGGCAACAGCTGGGCATGCCAATCTACACCTGTCATCCTAGCTATACAGGAAGCATAATTAAGAGGTTTGAGGTCCAGACCAGCTGGGGCACAAAGTGAGACTCTATCTCAAAACTAACTAACTCCAGAAAAAGGCCAGCAGACATGGCTCAAATGGTAGACTTCCTGCCTAGCAAGTGAGGCTTGGGTTCAAACCCTAGTACTGCAAAAAAAAAAACAAAGAAAAAGGAAATGTGAAACAACAAGGAAGAAACAATTCATTAGATACACAGAGTTTCTCAGTAAGATTATCAACAAATATCTCAACAAAAACTTTAGAGGCCAAAAAGCTAAAGGGCCAGTTCTAGGTGCTCAAAGAAAAAAACTGTCAACCACAAATCTTGTCTGGCAAAACCGTTCTTCAAAAGAACAGAGGAAAAAAAGTGAGGGAGAAATTAAGACATTCCCAGGTAAACAAAAGCTAAGACAGTTCGTTACAACTTGACCTTCCCTGCAAGAAATACTCACAGGAGTGCTAAAGGTTAAAGTAAAAGAAGTAACTAGAAGCTGTATGAAGAAATAAAAATGTCAAATAGGGTAAATACCTGGACAATTATAAAAGTCAATAATTAAATAATAATCAATTTGCAACTATACCTTTTCTTTATATATGGCTTAAGAGTCTAACACATTCTAAAAACACAATGATTAGTCTAAAATCCAGTCCTGTTGTGACTTTACTTTGTAAATTCACATTTTGTTTTTAATACAACTTAAGATGCTAATGCATTTAAAAGAATTATTAGTTTATGATTTGGGGCGTGCAAGAAATAAAGATGCAACTTTATGACATCAACAACCAAAAACACTAGAGATATAACTGTTAAGGGGGCACAGATTTTTGTATGCTCTTGAAGTTAAGCTGATATAAATTTGAGTTAGACTGTTATAACTTCAGCATGTTTAATTCCTATGGTAACCTCAAAGAAATTAGCTATAGAATGTAGAAAAGGGAATTTAAATGTTTCACTACAAAAAAGGAAAGAGAAAATCAACTAAACAAAAGAGAGTAATCCAGTAGTTGAGGGACCAAAAAAAAAAAAACTATGACGCATATAGAAAGCAAATACCAAAATGACAGGAGTCTCTCCTTACCAGCAATTAGTGTAAATGTGAATGGATTAAACTATCCAATCAAAACAGAGATTGACAGAATGGACTTTAAAAAATCACAATCCAGCTACATACTGAATATGAAGGCATAAATAGATCCAAAGGCACAAATAGACTAAAAGCAAAAGAACAGAAAAAGATATTCCATGGAAATAGTAACAAAAAGAGAACAGGACTAGCTATATTAATGTTACACAAAATACATTATTTTGAATAACAAATTTTGAATGAAAAAGTTTGTAAGAGACAAAGAAGGAAGCTTCTAAACAGAAACCCATCCACCACCTAATGACAGGCTATCAAAATATATATAAAGCAAAAAGTGACAGAAAGGAAAAAGAAATAGTCCTACAATAATGGAGATTTCAAATACCCCATTCTCAAAAATGGATGGAACAGCCAGACATAAGAAATAGAGGACTTAAACAACATATAACAAACCAATAAAATAATGGATTCAGCTGTATACCTAGATGACTATGTACCATACCCAGCATGGTGGAGCTTGGCTATAACCCTAGGTATGCAGGAGGAGGCAGGAAGATAGTAAGATCAAGTTCAACATGGGGAAGTTAACAAGACACCATCTCAAAAACAAAATATAAACAAAAATTGCTAGGGCATGGCAGAAACAATACAGTGCCTGCCTAGCACGCTAGAGGCCATGGGGAGGGAGAAAGATAGGGAGGGATTTATGTACTATGACCAAATGGGATTTATTCCTGCAATGCAATCAATGTAATATACCACATTAACAAAATAAAGGGGGAGCACACAAATAAATAAAGGGGGGTCATCAATATTGATGCAGAAAAAGCAGCTATCAAATTTTAACACACTTTCATGATCTAAAAAAAGAAAAAAAAAAGTCAAGAGGACTGGGCTATGGCTCAAGTGCAGACTGCTTGCCTAGAGAACTTGAAGCCCTGAGTTCAATCCCCAGAACCACCAAAAAACAAAGAAAAAAAAAAATCAAGAAACTAGGAAGAGAAGGAAACCACATCAATATAATAAAAGCCATATATGAATAACATTGTTCGTAACCTTAGTGAAATGGGCGAATTCCTAGAAACATAAAACCTACCAACACTAAATCATGAAGAGACAGAAATTCTAAACAGATCAATAATTAAAGATATTAAATCAGCAATCAAAAATCTAACCAAAAAAAAACTCTGAATTTGGTGGCTTCACAGCAAATTCTACCAAACATTTAAAGAACTTAAGTCAATCCTTCTCAAACTTTCCCAAAAAGTTCAAGGAGAAGGAAAACTTCATTCTGTGCAGTCCATACTACCTTGATACCAAATCCAGACAAAGACACTACAAGAAAGCTACAAACATCTCTTCTGAACACCGATGCTCAAATATAATATGTGTAAACCCACATTCATGACAGCATTATTCACAATCACCAAAATTTAGAATCAACTCAAGTGCCCATTGACATCTTAATGAATAAGCAAAATGTGATACATACAGATGAAATATCATTCAGCTTTAAAAAGGTAGGAAATTCTGAACACACACAACATGGATGAATCTTGAACATACTAGGCCAAGTGAAAGTAAGAAATCACAAAAGTCAAATGCTCTATGATTCCACTTACAACGAGGTACTTAAAGTACCTTTTCTTAGGAAAAGGAAGTAGAATATTCATTGCCAGGAGTAGGGGAAGCAGGCCATTGGAATTTATTATTTAATTGGTAGAGAGTTTCAGTTTTATAAGATGAAAAGAGTTATGCAGTG